GAGAGAGAGAGAGAGAGAGAGAGAGAGAGACAGAGAGAGAGAGAGAGAGAGACAGAGAGAGAGACAGAGAGAGAGACAGAGAGACAGAGACAGAGAGAGACAGAGACAGAGACACAGAGAGAGAGAGACAGACAGAGACAGACAGACAGACAGACAGACAGACAGACAGACACAGAGAGGAGATCCAATAAATCAAAAGACATCCTATGTTCGTGGACTGATGAATTAATAGTGCTAAAAAATCCATGTTACTAAAACAGTCTACACGTTGAATGTCTTCTCTAGCAAAATTCCAATGTCAGCTGGGAACAGCGGTACACTCCTACAATCCCAGTTACTGGGGCGGCTGATAAGGCAGGAAGATCACAAAATACATCCCAAATACTCGAGGAGCCATGGCCGCTCCATGAAGTTGAGATTCTGGAGCCCCTGAGGATTTGCTTCGGCATCAGGGATCCTCACGCTGCCATGGGCAATGCTGGCACTCAGCGCCTGCTCTGCACGTCTCTTGTGCCCTGTGCCACTGGGGATGCTGGGTAAGTGAGGTGGCACTCGGCAATCCCCACGTCCCTCGTCACCCTGGGCTCAAATACAGCCAGCCTACCTGCTCATCCTATCCGCCACCCCCTAAGCCACGCTGGGCGCAGAACTATTTGTTGTTTATTTCTGTATTTTAAGCCCCTCCACAAAGGCCCCCAGAAGGGGCTCAGTGAACGCGAGCCGAGTGGCATCTTACGTATCCACTAAAATGCTCATTCTGCAGACCTCGAAGCCAAAGGTGGGGAAATGTCAAGCCCTGATTCCAAATGCATAAAAGTGATATAGAGATGTGGATACAAGACAGAAGAGAATGTGGAACAATAAAAATTGTTAGACAAGGTAGAGGATGCTGTTTTCTTTTGATTTTTGTTATTACTATGAAATGATTATGTGTAGAACTTGAAAGTGAAGGAAGAAATGGCTGTAACGTTTAGCCCCCTAGAAAGCAACTTGAAAACTTCACCATGTGTCGAGGACAATGAGGCTGATTCCTGACATGTGGGAGACTGACTCTTGCGGCTGGACTTTGCTTCTCACTCTGGAGTTCTCTCCGGGTATGCAGAGTGCTGCTGAAGACGCAGAGCTCCCAGCAGTGGACCCCCACTGCAGTGTCTGTGGTGTTTCCTCACCCTTCTCTCAGCTCTCTCTTTTCGGTAACCCCAAAGCATAACACTGGGCAAGGCCCACCAGCTGCTCTGCGACTTCCCCTGAGGAGAGGCTCTCTGTCTTACCAGGAATCACAAACAGACTGAGTGCACCCCTCGCTCAGACTTCGGCCGCTGGTGACCAGACCGCCACGTGAAAAGGGTGGGGACCCTTGGAGATGGCTGATTCCGGGTCTCAGGGACAAGAAAGACAAGATGAACCTGGAATATTTTTGTCATCCTGGAAATCAAGAAAGTGATCCAAGGCTGTTATGGCCACCTCGATAGTCCCAGGAGCCATCATGAAAAGGCCCCACTGCCAAGAGGGAGCGACTGTCAGTAAGAACGAAACTGTAAGGAACTGAAACACATCAAATAGGTTTACGTCAAACATTCCTAGCAGTTACTCACGGAAGGGCAGGAAAGCCCCATTCCCGAGAATTCTCGGGAGCCGATGTGAGAGAGGGGACAGAAGCAGGCCTCTCATGCCACCCATTCGCCACTAGCAGTGGCGAAAGAAAGTCCGCCCTGTAGAAGTGCTCGGGCCGATGACAGGCACAGAGAGCCCTGCTTCATGATCTCTAGGTAGAACCAACAGTGGCTGTAAACGTTACAGAAAGAGACGGTCGGTCCACAGCTGGTGAGCACTAACTGGACAATCCTTGTGCAGAACAAACATGTAGAAATACGCAATGGTTCTGTGGGTCTATCAGTTCTGGGCAGGGGCCGGGAGGGAGGCAGGGAAGCATGAATTGTCACTGTGGGCTGCAGTCATCAAAGCCAGAACGGAGGAAACTTACAAGGCCACAACTGAGGTTACTTCCAAATTAAAATGGACTGAAGCCAATAGGTTAAAAAAAGAATTGTGGCAAACGGCCCCATCACAGTTTCTGACTTGATTTGGCTCTGATTCACAGAGGTTATAAAAGAGACCACGAGATGATCAGGGAAGTCCTGGCTAGATATTTATCAATAGTATTGATATGATTATGCAATGTGGAATTACTATTATGGCCTTGGTTTTAAAGAGTTTACAGGCCACACATGGCAGTGTACACCTGTAATCCCAGCACTTGGGAGGCTGAGACAGGAGGATCGTTGTGAATTCAAGGCCAGCCTGAACTGCATAGTGAGACCTTGGGGTGACAAAACAAAACAAAACTTTAAAAAATAAAATGAAATAAATAAAGAGTTTGCATCTCTCAGAGAGACAGATGGCAACTGTGGTGTCTGATGTTTGGTTCAATCAATATGGGGTTGCTGAAGAGCTGGCGAGGCAGGAGGATGGTTGGAGCTTGGGAGACGGCACACGAGCAGATCCCTTCTATTATTCTCTTTACCTTCCTACATGTTTTGAATTTTCAATAATCAAAAGCCTAAAACACTAATAAAATATAAATGACACTCTTCCTTATCCTCACAATTGACGTCTGGGGACAAAGATGCCACAGAAACAGTGGGACTCTTACCTTTTCATTAACTGGAGGAAAATTTTCCTTGGTAGCCGGTAGACAAAGGTGTCAAGGACAATCTTGAGGTAATTCAAAGAGACGTAGCCACCTCTGGAGGGGTCCCCGGCACTGAGGGCTTTTTCAATCTTATCAATGGACTTTGAAAACTGCAATGAATTAAAATTTTGGAGATGCATTCATAAAAATCAACCCGATAGAGTTTTTTGATCACTTTATTATTTTTTTTAACCAAAACCTCTTCACATTTTCCTCTACAAAAACTGATCAAAAAGGTTACTGTGGCATGTGCCGAACTTCAAATGATTAATTGATGAGTTCGCTACTAAACAGCATTCTCAGCCTTTGCTTCTCAGTGATGAGGCAGACAAGTTTCATGGGGAAAAGCAGCACATGCCACAGGGCCACCTCAAATTTCGGCACTAAAAATGCTCGGTGGATCTGCCAGTTTGATGCATCTTTCTTAATATACTTCAAGCCGTTCTCGCTGTGAAGCCACCCCTGAGTAAGGCAGGCCAAACAAACACGCAAGCCGGCAGCATTTGATTAAAAATAGAAGTTGATTTCACAATAAGGAAAGCAATTAATATCAGAATTACATAACGTACATTTTTGGCATTTCTTAAATAGTCCTTTCTTTTTTTTTTTGCAAAACCCTGGGTGACTGAGCTTTGTTTCGGAGATTCCTAAACCGCAGTGAAGTAGGTTAACCACTGATTTTATGACTCATAAAAATACTGTGCAGACTGGTTTTCTTCCTAAAGGCTTTCCTGCTGTTTGTTATTGAGTAATAACAACATTCTCTGATATTTTCCACCATCCCACTTCACCTGAATCCATTTTCTCCTGCTAACTTAGACAAGAAGGCAAACAAAATAACCGTCCACTTGGTGAGTGGCGAAGACTATTTTCAAACCCTGCTGTGGCACGGACATGTGCGTGTGAGGATTTCCACCCACCGGAGGAACACAGAAGCGTGTTGGGTAGAATATCCTTAATATGCCCAGGAATATTGGGAACTAAAGGGAAGAATCTTTAAAAATATCTAGAGACTTAAATTTCTTAGAAAGATCTATGCTGCTCAGAAAATTGTACGCAGCTAGCTCCGAATGCAGTTCAGTTTGTTCAAGTCCCTTGCAGGGAGGTGGACAGGAGGAGGCGCGTGCAGGAGAGTCCCGCGTGGACAGGGGCTCTGTGTCTCGATGGGCTCCAGGAAGTCCATTTTTGTGCCTTAATGACACTTGGTCCCCAGTAGTGTGTTTTTTCAGTAGCATGTCTGTGGTATGATCAAGAGCTTTGGGGACCACAGAAGCTGGTGACACAGGAACACATTCTTGGTGGAGGGTGTAGCCTTTTAAGAATGTTCTTTGTCATTGTTTGTGCAGAAAGTAAGAGCCCTTTTTAAGAAAATGCAAGCAGCCCTGCAGAGTATAAAGAGGAAATAAAGCAACCTGGAAGTCTCACCAGCCAGTTCACACAAGACGCTTGCAAAGCTCCGGGCACGACTGCACTAACCCAGGGAATGTCACACAAATGAAATCAGGCTGCTCCTCAGCGTTTCCTGGTCCCCACCTGAGTGAGAGCTCTGAGATCTCTCTGTCTCTGTCTCTCTGTCTCTCTGTCTCTCTGTCTCTCTCTCTCTCACACACACACACACACACACACTGTCCTTTTCTGCTACAACACGTGAAAGGCTGCATGACCCGTGTGCATTCGGTTTGCCTCTCCCGACTCCATGTGGGGCCAGGTGAGTGAATGTTCTGCCGGGTTTACTGGTTATCAGAAGGTGCACAGTTTGGGCAGGTGGGAAACACTGCACAAAGACGCAGAAGTGGAGGTATCTCCATCAAGCTTGTTCTAAACAAAGGTTGTAGTTTGTAAGAAGCCGCTCATGCACTGCCAAGCAGGGGAACGAATGATGCAACCACAGCTGAGACACCGCATGCGTCGGAGCGGCCAGAGCACAGAAGTCTAGCCATGTCCAGGGTCAGTACACATGTGGGGCGACAGCAGCTCTTGTGGGGTTTTGGTAGGAGCGGAGACATAATGGGAAAACAATGAGATGCTGACAATTAGAGAAGTGGATGGAGCTCTCCGCAGCCGAGGGCGCACGGCTCCCAGGGGCCACCTACGGGAGCTCCTGAGGTGGCAACGCTTGGGCTGGCGCAAAGCGAGGGGCAGCGGCAACGTCCTCCCAAGGGAGGAGAAAGGGCTTGTGTGGCATTAAGACAGCAGGAAACTGCAGCTGTGACAAGGACGGTGCAGCTGTGTCCATAACACAGATGGATCTCACCCTGAGCTCAGACAGGGTGAAAAGAAATGGTTTCGAAACTATGCAAACTTGCTAGAGAGAGAGGGAAAAAAGGAGCAAAAGAAAGAGGGAGGGCAGGGGGGAGAAACAGAGAACTCACGCCACGAGATGTGGAACAAAATCCCCTGCCAAAGTTTCACGGCATAAAAATGAACTCAAGAAAAATATGAATTCATTAAAATAAAGTCCTGAAAATTATAAAACAATGAAAGAGATGAGAGGAGATATTTCAGAGCTTGGGAGATAAAAAAAAAATACTAATAACATCATTACAGGAACTAATAAAAGTATAAACAGCAAGAATGAGAGATAAAGATGGAATTTAAATATTAAAGAAATGACTTGAAAGAATATTGAAGGCAGAAAAATGAGACAAAGGAATAAAGCAAACTGAGAGCCAATGACAGCCATTAAGGAGGGACAAAGAGGAGACAAAGCAAGGGGACCTGGGGGGCCCCTACCTCCAAGGAAGGGGAGGCTGCAGTGGGGACAGGGGGAGGGAGATGATTTGAGGGTTAGGACTTCAGGAATGTCCCTGACACGAAGGCAGAACTGAGCCTATACATGTAGAGAACATGCTGAATTTCAGGCGGCTTCATCAGATGTAGCTTAGTTTGGCTTTTTTTTTAATTTCAAGGAGTAAGAAAAAAAAAATATCATCCAGGCAGGAAAGCTACCAGGGAAAAAATAATTGTGTTGATCCCAGGCTCTTTGCTGCCACACCCTGTGCCTAAAGACAGCAGGAGAAATATTCACACTCTGGTGTAAGGAAGTGGGGGACAACAATCTACCCAGCCAAGTTATTCGGGTACCAAAGCAAAAGGAACGAAGTCTCGTAAGGAAAAAACAAAGAGAACAGAGCACCCGCCAGCCTTTCCTGCAGAGATTACCTGACGATGAAATCCAGCCAACCAAAAAATAAATCAAAATAAAGAACTCTGAAAGAGAAACTGCAGTGAGCATTGAACTATAGTGATGTACATTAAATTTGTATAAATATAAAATGAAGGCAAACAACCAGGGGGAATACGGTAAGAGACAGATTAGAAAGACCATAAACTCGGAGAACAACCCTCACACAGTAAAACCCGCGAGGAGGGGCGGGCGGGCAGCGCCGGGCTCAGGAAAGGGCAGCCCTGGGTCTGCAGGCGACCTCCAGCGCAGCACAGCCTCCCCCGACCTCGGCAGCTTTCTTAATCTCTCCTTGCCCTCCCTTCAGGGACCTACCAGGTCTGGTGACAGAGAATTATTCATCCAAAGTCCAGAGCTGTGTTTGCTTTCACCTGAGGACAGGGCTGTGGGGTTAAGAGTAAGGAGCCTGGAGCAACCCCGGCAGGTTCTCTAACTGCTGCGTGCCTCAGTTTCCCCACTGAGATGACAACAGTGCCCAAGTCCCCGAGCTGCAGAAGACCCAGAGGATGCTGCCTGGTCCCTGAGAAAACTCAGGAGGGTTCATTACGATCATGGTGTTTGCTCTGCTGGGAAAGCCAAGCAAATTTAAATTAAATGTTCTATTTTTTTTAAAACATGATCATTTTTCTTATAAAATTATGTCTATCTAAAATCATCATTCAAACCATCAGCTTGCACAGTTGGTTTAAAGCAAGCCTGGGCTTTTGCTGAGTCTGAGGCCAGCCTGAATGACAGAGCAAGATCCTCTTTTTAAAAAACAGGTAAATTAATAAACCAGGAAAACAATTCCATTTACGATAGCTTAACACAAAACAAACAAAAAAGAGCACCAAGGATCAACTTAACCAAGGAAGTAAAAGACTCCCACCGAAAAAATTTCAGAACACCGAAGAAAAAATCTGAAGACGACACTAGAAGACAGAATTGGTGCTACCAAAATGGTCATCTGAGCAGAAGGGATTGACAGGCTCGACGCAGTCCCCACCAAAACGCCGAGGGCATTCTTCACAGAACTAGAAAAAAAAAAAAAAATTCTAAAATTCACATGGAAACACAATTAATCCAGACTAGCCAAGGGAATCTTAAGTAAAAAGAGCAGGGCTGGAGGCTTCGCAATGCCCAATTTCAAATTACTTTACAAAGACGTATTCACAAAAAGCAGCACAGTGAGAAAAAAAAAAAAAATCACCGCACAGACCAGTGGAGCAGAGCATCCAGGAGCAAGCTCAGGGGCTGCAGCCATCCGATTCTGGACAGAGAATCCAAAAACATCTGTAGGGAAAAGAGACAGCCCTCTCCCCAGTGGTGCGGGCAACTGAACATCGTACGGGGAGACTGAGGGTAGAGCTCTGTCTCTCACTCCATAGGATTCAAAATGGGTCCAAGCGTGAGGTCTAGGACCGGAACTCTGAAACTGTGCCCGGAGAGACAACGGCAAAGCCTGAAGCCCCAGGCGCAGGCGAAGGCTTCCGGGCCAGGCCCGACCACGCAGGAGAGAACGGCGACAATCAGCCACATGGGACTGCAGGACATTACAAGGGATCTTTCTGCACAGTAAGGGAAACAGCTAACCGAGAGAGGGGATGGCCTAAAGGACAGGAGGACGGGTGTGTCAGCTACTCTCGGGACACAGAAGTGATGTCGAAAACATAGCAAGATCTCAAAATCAAATAGTCCACAGCAAATGGGCGAATGAGTTGCACAGGCATTTTTGTAAAGAACAGGCGGCCAGTAAGTACATCAAAAGGTGTCCAGCAACTTCAGCCTTCGGGTAAGTGCAAAGCCCAGCTGCTCGGAGCTTCCGCCTCCAGTCAGAGTGGCTGTCAGCAAGGGCACGAAAGCAGTGAGTGCGGGTGAGGCTGCGCAAAGGAGCCCTTCCACAGTGCTGGAGGGAACATCTTGAGCACAGTCACTACAGAAATCAGGACGGGGCTCCGCCAGAGCCTAAAACCGAGACCGGGCTACCCGCTTGGTGGTGTACGTCCGAAGCAGATGAAGTCGGCTCCCTGGGAGACCTGCATGCCCACGATGGTGCAGCACAGTTCACAGCGGACAAGGTGCGGAACTGGCCTCTGTGTTGTCAACAGATGGATGGATGGGAGGTGAGGCAGGAGGACAGCCACAAGTTTAAGGCCAGCCTGGACTACACAGAGTTCAAGGCCAGCTTCAGCTACACAGCAAGACCCTGACTCAAACCAAACCAAACCAAAACACCCCAAAAGCAGGTGGATGGAGAAAGAAAAAGTGCTACACACACACCACGGAGTGGTGTTCAGCTCCGAAGCAGAGTGACGCTGTGCCATTTGCAGGACGGTAGAGGGAACTGGAGGTCACCACGGTAAGAGAAAGAAGCCAGGTGCAGGACAGCCATCACAGTGTTCCCTAATACAAGGAATCTAAAAAAGATGAACAGGAGCAGAAGGGAGATTTTTATTAGCCAAGAGAAAGGCAGCAAGAGGGAAAGGGCATAAGGGATGATACTGGGACACACAGAAGAATTCTAGTTATATCATTAAGAGGTCATGACCGTGACGAGAATTTACGCCCACCACCCTCCCCTCCCCCCCGGTGGGTTACCAAGCAGTATGCACAGCAAGGCCGGTTTTTATTTACACAAACACATTAATGCACAGAGATACTAACAAAGTGACTACAGTGACGTTCACATAACTGGATCGTCTCTGGGACTGAGATGCCAACTGCATCTTTCTTTTTGCTTAAGAGTATTTTTGTGACTGGTGTTATCATGAAATGTCCCTAAGCAGGAGAAATTAAGAATCGATATGTGAGGCAATAGATACGCTAATTAGCTCGATTGTAGTAATCACTGCACAACGGACCTGTATCTACAAACACGGCATTGGGGCTGGGGAGATAGCTCAGCAGTCTAAGCGCCTGCCTGGCAAGAGCAAGGACCCAAGTTCACTCTCTGGTAACACATGCTGTGCCAGCCCCAGAACCCAGGCATGCCACGCTGTCCTGAAACCGGACATGGTGGCACACGCCTGTAACCACAGCGCTGGGGAGGCTGAGACAGGAGGATCGCTATGAGTCCAAGCTGCACAGTGAGACCCTGTACCAAATAAATAAATAAATATAAAAACATGGAGTTGTGCACCTTAAATAGACATGATTTTATTTGCCAGTTATACTGAGTAAAAACTAAGTCAATAAATAATTATTTTTGCCTGTCAGTCCACTCACACAGCTACCCACGGATGCAGCCCATCCTTCCATGCCTAAAGAAAGAGAGGCTTAGGACTGTGTTCCTCAAGGGCTGCCTTCATCTGTTTTGGGGAGTGGATTATAGACAATTTAACACTTTCTTCTTGATGTGTTTCAGAATTGGGTACACTCTTTTGTAATAGTCGCACATTTTGTAATGGTCATGTCTGTGTGCAAACAACGAAGTGCTTCATCGACATCAACTAGAAAAAGCAGGTTTTACCAGGCTACGGACAGATACTGAATTGCTCTTTTCTCTAACATCCTTGCCATTGCCGGCTTTCTTAGCTTACCCATCACCAGAAATTTTCTACTAATAATTTGCAAAAGCTGGATGTATGTCGAGAAACATTATCTGTCATTCATGTTTTGTACATTTTGCAAAGTTGGTCTTATGTTTGCACCAAGTTTTGCTGCTCAGAATCTTTTTCATTGTCATGTAGTCAAATTTCATGCCCTGAAGACTTCAAAGTTTAAAAAGCTCCACCTCAGCCTGGGGTACAGCCCGGTGGCCGAGCGCGTGCCTAATATAATTCAGCATCATTAAAAACATCCTTGATATCATCTGTTTTAGATTTAAATAGTTGATGCTCTTACAATTTATTTTGGTGAAGAGTAGATGGTTATAAACTCTCCCCAAAACCGTATGGCTAATAAATTATCTCATTAATAACTACTGAAAAACTACACTTCTTCCAACACTCGCTATAATATTTTAAAATCATTCAGATAATATACTAAATTCACATAGATACATTGATCTATTATCTCTAACT